GATGAATAAGTTGAGAAGCGGCAAACCTAAAGTAAATTACTGGAAGATTACTAGAAGTTGGAAAGAGGAAGTGTTTAATCCGTTTAAGAATTGGTCACACAGTTACCTTTTGCAGGCCGAGAATCAACCTCCATGTTCAATTGTAATAGTGTTCTATCCGTGCATTACTTTTTAACCGGATAGCCTCAAAAATGCGGTCGATTGAAAGAAAATGAAAAATGAATGTGTGCGACGTCGAATTTAAAAATCATAATTAATTTGATGATTTTTAATGATTGTAACTGCTTACTTAAGTGAACTGAATTTACGTTTTTAAGACGAAAAACAAGTAAGTATACCTGCTACATAATTCGCAGAGAGAAATTAGCTCGTTTCTTTACTTGTGAATGAACGTTAACTGGAAGTAAATCACTTAATTATTTCAGTTTGCTATTATTATGGATACATCAATCAACTATTTTTAGGATCTTTTAGAAATACTCTTAAATGGAAAATTTATATTTCTTCTAATTGGACAAATACACTCTTAGACAAAAAAAAAAAAAAAAAAAAAAAAAAAAGACGCACCAAGAAGATGTAAAGCAAATTGGACACAAATTGATATGCATACAGGTTTCGACGGAAAATGAAAACTTTTACATTTTGGCTGCCAATGAATGAACGGTTGTCGCTACAGCGCATCTGATCTGCGCAACTCGCAGGATATTTAAGAGGAGAAATTACGATTCCAAGTCATAAATTCTTCACGAATTTCATTCCGTGTACTCTGGTAGACAGTAACTATGCCTCACATATAGGTGCGCGAACGATATGCGCAGATGTCAGAATTTGAGAGAGGTCGTGTAGTGGGTTCAAAGAAGCCGGTTGGTCTTATCGGCGAATAGCTCGACATTTGAGCAGGAGCGATTCCACTATTAGACGATGTTGGCAGGAATGGGTGAACCATGGCCGCACACAGCGTCAAGAAGGAAGCGGTAGGCCTAGAGAAACGACAGAACGTGAAGATCGAGCAATCGTGAGAGCGGCACTCACAGCCCCAGATGCATCATTAACATCGATTGTACGTACAACTAGTGTTTCAGTGACCGCAAGGACCATTCGTAGACGGCTCACAGAAAGGGGGCTGAGGTCACGGCGCCCCTTGCGCCGACTAACATTGACCTCTGTACAACGTCAAGCCCGTTTGCAGTAGTGTTGGGCTCATTCGCACTGGAATGTCACTGACTGGAGTAGAATAGTCTTCAGTGATAAGTCCCGCTTTGAATTGAGCCCCGATGACCAGCGAAGGCGAGTCTGGAGACACCCCGGACAGCGGTGTGATACTAACCTGACTGTCTTCCGGCAGACAGGCCGACAACCAGAAGTGATGATCGGCAGTGCCATTTCTTTTCATAGTTGGTTGTCATCCGTCGCAACCACAGCGGTACGTCGACGAAGTTCTAAGGCCCGTTGTATTGCCCTTCACGTCATGTCACCCTGGGCTTACATGTCAGCAAGATAATACCCGCCTCCACACTGCACATGTTTCTACTGCTTGCCGAACATTACCTTAGCCAGCAAGGTTGCCGTATCTCTCTCCTATTGAGCACGTTTGGAGCATTATGGGCAGGGCCCTCCAACCAGCTCGGGATGTTGACGATCTAATGCGCCAATTGGACAGAATTTGGCACGATATCCCTCAGGAGAACATTCGCAACCTCTATTAATCGATGCCAAGCCAAATAACTGCTTGGATAAGGGCCAGAGGTGGACAAACGCGTTACTGCCTTTTTCACTTTGTAAAGCGCTATCACTTCAATAAATCATCCAATTTTTCTCAAACTGTAACCATTTGTTTTTCTGTATGTGTACATCACTTCTACCGATTTTCGCTCCATTCGGATAACTCCTTCTTGGTGCGTCGATTTTTTGTTTTTTTTCCTCTAAGAGTGTATATTGCGAGTAAACTCAGGCAAAATTACCTGTAAATGCACTTTCATTACGCTCACAAAATTCTTCACCAGTTTATATGGCAGCATTTACAAGACATGATGTTTTAAACACTGTCAACATTCTAAATTAAACTGAAGTTTCTGCTTTCTCTAGAAGCAACAGCTTAATTAACTCTAAAACTCTGGCTAAACAGCGTAATAACAAGGCAAAATATGGAGCCTGAAACTAAGAAGCATTATCGAGAATAATAAAATAGATATGATCTTCGGCTGACGTATTTTTTGGTTTTTCAATTAAAATGAGGCATTTATTAATATAAAATTACGTAATCTATCTTATCTAAGTAACTGAGCGTTAGAATCCCCCCTTTGTTAATAAATGTGTTACAACATTTTTTATTCAAAAAGCAAATGCAGTATAAAGTAGGAAATTCTCATCGAAATAAAGGGAACCAGCTAATTCTGAACTTTTTAGTTATTTAATTAAGCAAGTTTTTTTGGTTTTAATTAGGAAAAAATTAATTTCATATCACCGCGACGTCGCAATTGTTTTCGCTCGTTGCAGTTAAGACTTTTTTCTTTCGAATTATCAGTTGAAAATTCATATCAACTGAAAGCTAGATTAATACTGAATTGTTTTTTATTCATGTTTGTTAAACAACTATGCTATCAATTTAGAAAATCTTAAGAACACAATAAATAAATCGTAGCACACAACAGTACTTTAATTAGATGAATAATTGCTATATTTTTGACGTTTTAGTTCAAGCAAAAGAAAAGTGATAAAATATTAATACGGAATTTATATTTTTCTTTCAATAAAATCTTTAGAATTTAAAAATTATTCTTTACGCGAAAATACATCACTCTGTTCATTTTAGTCTTTGAATTATCCAGAGTTTGTTGCAGATTTTCCGGTTAATTATTATTACAAAGTCTTAAAAAAGCTTAATTTGAAAGAAAACTCTGAACACAATTTCCTTATATGATGATAAGTAAAAGAATACTTTGAGCATTATGTCATCCTAGTATGAAGGCACAGAAAGTTTTAGATCTGATATACGAAATCTAATATTTGCGTAGTCCCTCTAAAAGCGTTAGCAACTTCTGCTTATTTGTGCTGTTCGTATATAGCTTCATTACGCAGTTATTACCACAAAGATGGCGAAAAAATAACCGAAAGGAATCACCTCTCTGGAACACTCCTCTGTTTGCAAATCTGGTCATCCTTTGTCTCCCGCGGGTTTACATTTCTCGAGCAAACACATCGCTGTTCCTTATTTCCCTTTCGGGGCTCTTATCTGGTATACCCAGCAGAACAATAAGAGGATTACCTCTCTAATCCACAGGCTAAGGAATTCTCTTTTATCTCAGCGGGACCTATCGCCCAGCCTAGTCGCTTATTGAACCGAGAGGGCAAGATTGCTTTCAGTTCGTGGCTATGAACAGAAGGACATAGCTATCCTTTGTAATTCCCGCGTATCCAGCTGCACTTTAAGCTTGCCTTCTGCTGCTGCATCAGGGGAGAACGCTGAAGGGGCGGAATTAATAATCCAGAGTTTTGTTCCATCATCATTGTCCCCTTTGTTCGTGGGTGCGTGGTAATTAGTAACGATGAGGTTGTCTTGACGTCCCCCCCCTTTACCATAGAGCACGGAGCCGCCGTGTTTGCGGTCAGATTCGTCACTGCCTTAATTATAAACCTTGAGTTTGCTGCAGTGTGTGGTTAAGTTTGACATTATAGTATTGGATATCAAAAGGTGCGAAAGAGCGGTTAGCTATTCTTGAGAGCCATATTTATCATCTTGAATAATATAGTTGGAAGAATTTTCAGAGAGAGTATTTGTAGTCGATTCTAAAGTATGATTTTCGTCTAATGAATGTGCGTAATTCATTTGACTTAGAATAATAGATTACATGCGAGATCTCTCACAATTTTAAAACTTTAACAAAAGAGAGAAAATTGGATGCAAAAGGATGTCTACTAGCTGTTGAGAAGGTATTTTCGTATCATTCGTATGTTTTCCAATTGAAATTCGGTTTATAAGGAACTTTCTCATATATACTATCTAGTCCTAGATTAGATTAATAAGCAAATGATAGTTTTTTAATGTCCAAGACATACAGGATACAGTGGAGACATTAGTCAAACAGTAAATTATTAAACATTACTATTTGTCTGAAATTTACAATCATTATACGAATAAGTTAAAGACCGTCATGTTTTGTGTGCACCAACTTATGAGTTATAAAACTGTAGGACAGGATAAAACGATTTCTTTCTAACCAATGGATATCCCATAACTGATTGATATGCTTCGAAACGCTTAGAGATGTAGCACGTATTTCTGTATAAGCTCTTTTTAGCTTGTTACAAAATGCATTCTAAAATAAAATAAATGCTGAGATTTCTTTATTTGATGTATTCAAAATGTTGCTCATTTATAGAAATTTATTTCGTTTCAAGTATCTCTCAAAGTCTATCAGTTTTATGATTTTAAAACCTCATCAATGGCCATGTACAATAAATCTAAGACATTGGTTTATAGACAGTTACAAAATCGAGGCTCTTCAGCCGGTATGTAAACTCCCCAGTGGATAAGGTATCCTGCTGTCCAAGAAAGAAAATTTATTTCACTTGCATTGGATCGAATTATTAGTTAAAACTCATCACGCAGTATGGAAACAAAATGGTAAATATTAAGGATTTCTCAAAATATTTGCAGAAGCGAGCGTGACAAATATTCACCGATTCCTATCATACCACTTGCAAGTCTAGTGGATAAGACCTCGGAACACTAGTAGTTTGACTTAAACCCGAATTTCAATGAGCAAGCTGGATGAATGGATGTTTTAACGACTTTCTCCTCGTATAACGTAAATGGAAGTCATTTTTTAAGAAAGTTCTGCACAATGACATCCGTCCTCTTAGGCAGACAACCTTCGCATGCTTTGCTATAATCGACTAAATGAACTTATTACTAATTTTAATATTACCGTTTATTAATAATAAGTTTTAACTAATACTAGCCTTTTCTGATAAGAAATTTTTACTGAATTTGATTTTAGATGGTATCACGGATCCATCAGTCGGCTGGATGCCGAGAACTTACTACGGGTGCTCAAGGAAGGCAGCTATCTGGTGAGGAACAGCGAGAGTTCCAAACAAGATTATTCGCTGTCTCTCAAGTAAGATATTTAATTATCACCTTTCTATTTATTGCATCATAAAATTGGCAGTCTATACAGAAATTATCTTTGGCTCTTTGCTGTACTATCTTTATTTTGGGGGAAGACAGGCATATTGAAGATGTGCCAGTTCTTATAGCTTAGTTTACTTTACTTACCGATATTCACATTATCTCACATTTCGCTAGTGTGAATATAAACATGAAAACAGTATGTTACAATATGTGAGATACTGAACCTGATTTTAATATTTTCATGTATGTGATATATTTATTATGATATTATTGTTACGCACATTTCATTATGTTTATTCGGAAAATAATAGGCTTTAGTAAAGAATAAAGTGCGTTGCAATTAATTTTTCGCCGCACTTTATTTTATTACGTTCCAATAAGCATAATAAAATGTGCGTAACAATGATTATAAGACATAATTATTGTTATGCACATTTTATTAGAATTATAAGAAAAGATCATTATATTTCTAAAAAAAGGATTTAAAGCATATATGTAAGTTAAAAAAAAACTTACTTAAATTTGTTATAACCTCGTAAGTCTCATTTTAATATAATTGTTTTCCCTTTGCAGCCTAAAAATAGTAACATGCGTATAATAAATCGTCCTGAGCTTCTTTGTTTCAGAACTAATCTGTGTCATACGATTCTTCTATAACGACTCATGACATATGTATTTAAATAACGCAAAAAAATCTTTCAACCAGTGATAATATTGAATTTTCAAACTAAAGTCTTAATCAACCAGTGTAATTAAAATGAAATCATAACTTCACTGACCTTGAATGTGTTTTAGCAGCATTCTTAAATGGAATTAAGAAAGGTTGCGTTTTGATAGCATTTTTTGCAAATATGTACTCTTTTCTTACGTTTGATTTTGCTTCGTGAACACTGTTGTCTACAATTAATAAGCAAATGATAGTTTTTTAATGTCCAAGACATGTTTTAGAGGATACAGTTTAGACATTAGTCAAACAGTAAATTATTAAACATTACTATTTGTCTGAAATTTACAATCATTATACGAATAAGTTAAAGACCGTCATGCTTTGTGTGCACCAACTTATGAGTTATAAAACTGTAGGACAGGTTATAAAACGATTTCTTTCTAACCAATGGATATCCCATAACTGATTGATATGCTTCGAAACGCTTAGAGATGTAGCACGTATTTCTGTATAAGCTCTTTTTAGCTTGTTACAAAATGCATTCTAAAATAAAATAAATGCTGAGATTTCTTTATTTGATGTATTCAAAATGTTGCTCATTTATAGAAATTTATTTCGTTTCAAGTATCTCTCAAAGTCTATCAGTTTTATGATTTTAAAACCTCATCAATGGCCATGTACAATAGATCTAAGACATTGGTTTATAGACAGTTACAAAACCAACTTCTTCTTCTAAAATTATCGAATAATATAGATGTGCCCGTCTCACTGCTTATATTGCTTCAATGTGGCTTATACATAAATAAATATGATCATCTACAAGTTCATGATTATGTGTTTCTTGGAAGAAAAATGCACTAAGTATTCAGCTGCCTTTTTTGTCAGTTTAATATGTTTCATATATAAAAGCAAGGTTCTTAATCTTCCTTTTAGATGTTAACAGATATCAGTACCCGGTATTATTCATAACAGGAAAAATTAATATAAAAACCTTTTTGTAGGGTAAAAATATCCAGTAGCTAAATGTAAATTAAAATGCAAATTTTTGGCAGCTAAAAGGTGAATAAATGACAAAAACAGCGTACGAAAAGAAAATGGATGTTCATGTTGCCGGGAATGTGAATATTCTTGTCACTGTCCCTACATAAATATGTAGCAATTTCGTTCTAATGTTTGCAGAAAACAAATTATATCCTTATTGGTGAAAGGTATGAATGTCTGTCTTAATTGTGCAATTTTAAAACTTTCCATTCAATCCCTTATATTTTTGGAGCTTAATGCTTGCGAGCTTAGTGCTTAATCTTCCATGATTGAAATTAACAATAGGATTGAAGTCATAAAAATAAGAAAAGTTGTAATGAACAAAAGGTTAATTCTACTTGAGCAATATAGAGAATTTCTAAAATACTGCCCCTTCCTTTTCTGGAATGGTTATACCCTGAAGTGAAAGAAGGTATTTATCATTTTTAGGCTTTTCATTCATTTGTGCCAGTGAATCCCCTTCATCTTATCCTACTTAAGTGCTCTTCTAATAATCCTCTATAAAATACTTCTAATTGCCAGAAGCTCTTTAGTGTTTGTACAATCTACTTGTTCCTCTTCCTAGCTAATAGAACTTTCCCAAGTTTATTTCCCCTTTTATAGGGGGTTCAGTATTGGAGCCCCATATCCCACACCATTAATTTTCACACTCAATTTTTCCATTCCCAGCTTTTCCGAAGATGGAATTTGCATAGACTACGCTTTTCTTTATGATGACTACGCCTCATTAAAATCGGTCTTCCGTTTTTATTTATTTAACTGCGTTTTAACGTCGTTAAAAGTCGCTTTTAATGGGCGGGCGACACTTAGCAAACGAGAAATCTGCTTTGCAAATTGTTGCCTTAAACGTTAATGACTCATGTGATTTTTAACGATCGAAGCTTATAATTCGGTTGGTTGTAATTTTTTTATCCTTTTAAATCTTCCTGTTCTGCTTTTGAACAATAATACTACAAAAACAAAAAAAAAAAAAAAAAAAAGTACGTATTCGTAGGATTTCCATTCTGGCAACCTATTTTTGGTTCATTAAATTAGAAATGAAAAATCTTTAAGGTTTAAAAATATAAAAGGGTGTAACGGATGTTCATCAGTATAAATTCTGAGAGTTTATTTAATTAGATGTATTTTATTGATTTCTTACCGCCGTTATTTTTATATTCCTTCTTTCCTTTCAAGCTTTGAATGTGACTGTTTTCTGGAAATATGACATAATCAAAGCGCCTACGCTAGACTGATGCTTAGACAACTATTACTAGTTTGAGTTATGAACATTTGAAAGGAAAAATATATCAAAGTGCATAGAAATGACTATTATTGTCAGTTTTCTGGTTTAAAAAATTCTAATAGTCTGTGCAAATTAATTTGGTCACTTAAAGCAGTGAATGCTGAATTATGCTACAACAAAAATTCTAGACTTGCCTATGATGAATGTATGGCTTTTATCCTTTTTTTCCTTCATATATTAAAATGAAACTCATTTTACATAGCTTAGTAAATATGTAAATATTTTCCAGATTAGAAGAGCATTCTTTTCTTTTTTGCATAAAACTGTTAGTAATAATCCTTGCATGTATAAATGCGCATATAAAAAACGTAAGAAAGAAACATTCTTATCATACCATTTTTAAAATAACAGATTTAGAGAAATTCAAATTTAATTAAAATATTTTTGAACTAAGCTTTTATACCAAGAATTAAAAATTTGTCAGTATTTCTGCCTGCTGTATAATTTTTCGTTTGAAAATTTTAAATATGAACAAATTTTAAGAGGATATATATAAAATATTTTATATACAGCTTAAAAATGTTTAAATATTAATTAAACTTTCTAACTTAATTTTGGGGAGAGGGAGTTTTTTTCTTTTTCAGAAGTTAAGTCATAAATGAACTTAATTTTTATTTTGACGGAAGAATAAAAATAAGTATTATAATTATTCCGTACCTTTTTTAATGTACTGTACAAACATCATAATACAATTAGAAAATTTAGTTAGGATTTTAAACTGAATTCAATCTTAAACAGACTTTAAATTTTAGGTGGATTAGATCCAATCTGTCTTCTTCAAGTTGCGAAATACACTGTATCATAAATCTCTTTTGAGATGAAATAGCAGGGGGTTGGAACTTTTCTCTTTAAATCTGCATAAATGAACTTTATTGATTCAGTACTGTATTCAGGTAATGCGAACGATGTTCCAACGTCTTGGGAAAGATTTTAATGCATGAAAACAATTAATTATGTTACATATTAATTTTTTTTCCAGTTTGGTAATCCATCTTCTTAACTTTCAGTCTAGATTTTGGGTTCTATCACAAAACAGTTGGGAACTTCTCCACATTTCTGTTATTCTGCTTTAATTTTCTTTAGTTGACATGTAGGTACTGGGCTCTTTAACAGTCTAAAAGCACAGTAGTCAGTCCGTCAAAGCCACAATGAAAGTCTGTGAACGAAAATTTTGAAAAGTTTAAAGCGAAGTTTTGAAATTCTTTTATTTCTACTGTGTATTACTACTTCATTTATTCTTTTATTTCTACTAGTTATTCCAAACCAGCCAGCTACAAGTATAAGTCTATATATTAAGTTCCGACACTTAACTTTGTGGTTGAATAATTCCGTAAATGTATCTCAAAATATATAAAATGATCTTCCATGCATTTTGGGATTTAAATTAAACCAGAAAAATGTGAAGCTTCCAGATGATTTTGATCTTTTCTGTGTCTTTCTTGTCTTAGACAGGAAGGCATTTTTGGTAATGGTTATTATCGATTTTGACAACGGATTTACTGTACTAATTGCTTTTGGATTCTGAAGAAGACTCAGTTGGAAATTATCTGTAAGTATTAAAAATTATTAAGTAGGGTGTTTGCTAGCCTTCCTTTCCATTTTTCATACACATTCAGTCGTAGATGTTGGCGTTATTTGATGAACCTAAAATTATTTTACTCTGTGGAGAGAAAGAAGTGGATTTTTCTAAACATGAGAGTGAAAACACCATATTAATAATATACGGAATTGATTTTTACATTTTTTTTTATTCTTCTTAATCATGATCACTTTTCATGGATTATTTATGCCCTTAAGTATTCTCTTTAGCTTTTGATTATCGCCAGATTTCTTTCAAGCTTTTTGAAGTGAAAATTACCGCTAAATTTCTAAATAATTTTAAAATCTATGTTTCATATTTTGTTGCCTAAATAATTTATTTAAATAATATTTCTCTTATTCGTGTTTTAAATTAGTCTTGCTCTGCGGTATTGTATTCATGTTGCAATACCTG